TAAGTTTCTTCCATGTGATTAGTTATGTAAACAACTGTGCAGACAGACAGACAAACAGATAGATGGTTCTCTCTGTCGCACACTGAGAAATAAGTTGAGATGTCATTTTAAGTAAATGTTGTTCTCTTCTTTCCCCTCTGTCATCCCTTATCTGCTTACTTTATGGATCCTTTATCTCACCCCTTTTTTCCAACTCTTGGTTCTTTATCCTCTTTGCTCTCTCAACTTCCTGCTTCATTATCTGTCATCCTTCTTTCTGTGTCATACTCCCCTTTGCTTCTTCATCTTCTGTCTCTCTCTTCTTCATTGCTCCCTGTCTCCTCGCTTAATATTTACCTCTCCTGCTTCGCGGCTGTCTCTTTATCTTTGTCCATATGCTGCTATTTTTCCATCCTCTCCTCTTCCCTCCGCTCCTTCCTGTCATCCTATTTTCCGCCTCCGTCTCCCCCCGCTCGGCCCCACTTCTGCCCAGGAGATGAGGACGAGGATGACACAGGGGAAGAAAGGCTTCCTTCCTGTTTTGACTACGTCATGCACTTCCTGACCGTCTTCTGGAAGGTCCTGTTTGCTTGTGTTCCTCCCACGGACTACATGAATGGCTGGGCGTGTTTCACCATCTCTATCATTATAATCGGCCTGCTCACGGCCGTCATCGGCGACCTGGCATCTCACTTCGGCTGCACTATTGGCCTAAAGGACTCAGTCACTGCTGTGGTTTTTGTGGCACTCGGCACCTCAGTCCCAGGTGAGTTCAAGAAAAGCAGAAGGAACTGTTTTTGAAAAGCACGTGTCATTTTCAATACACAAATTTTTATTACATACAAATCTGGGCTCTGAAATTGTGCTCATTATTTGTTATGTCGCTTGATGGATATGTGGTTCATATTTTTGTTATGAAAATTGTGACTTCATGGGCTCCAACAGTAAACATGCTTTGTCATCAAGATTGCTGATCGTATTTACTCCAAAATGACATTTTCCACCCTGACAGGAACAATATGTCACCAAAAACTCTGACTGCATCAGCATTTTCTGCTATTAAAGGTCCTATATGTGGCACTAATAAGATATATATATATATAATTTTTCTAAAACAACCAAGAAGCCTGGCTCACAGAAGAACCTTTCACGATTTGTGGGAAACATAGTTTCCATTTTTGAAAATATCAACTGCTATTCTACAAGAATCTAGATGACACTTAAACAAGGCTCAGAAATCTTCATCGAAATCAGATGCTTTGATTTGTTACATGAAGTTATTAACAAGGTTTACTTTGTCCTTTTTTGCCTTTTTTGCAGAGTTACAAAGTCTGCTTTAAGAGGTTGAAAGAGTTGCGGTGGAGTAAGTCAGAACTTTGTCAGACAGGACTTAAGGTTTAGGAAAAGATCATGGTTTGGCTTTAAATACACTCTTTTGCAGCCTTAACTCTGCAAACTGAAAAGTAACACTTACCGACTGTGTCATTACCCACAGAGTCAGGAAATTTACTCCAGCGGACACCTTATGTATAATCAGGAAACCCCAGCAGCTTTGAGAGGGTGTTTCTTTTGTGTGTTTTGCGGTTGTTGTCATTATTTTTGGGCCTTCGGTTTATGCTTGGATTTGCTTAAAAAGCTGACTTCATGTAGTTCTGTCCATCAAACCTGATTTAGCAGCATTTCAATCAAAATCTAATGTTACCAGTACTGAGTCAAAGCAATTAAGATTAGCTTTGTTAAGACTCTTTTAACTCTTTTATCCTCATATATGTACTGCTCTAGAAAATGTATAAATTAAATGCCATAAAATGTTTTTATTTTTTCTGCGCTTATTTGAAGCTGTTGCTGTGATCAACACTGTAGCCTCACACTGTGGAGTTTGCATGTTCTCCTTGTTACTGTGTGGATTTGCCACAGCTTCCTCCCACAGTCCAAAATAAAGAGCGTACATCTCAGGTTAATTAGTAATTCAAAATGCAAATAGATAAAATTCTTAAGTCCACAGAAAATGTGCTGTATGAATTTATATGTGAAAAGGATCAAATTTGTAGAGCTTTGTATCGCGCTTCAAAAGGTTTGTAAGATTAGAAAAGGGCTATGAAAATGCCTTCCCATTACCATAAATGAATGAGGAGAGAGCATTAACTCTAAAGCCTATTCATTGTCCTGTGCTCATTCTCATTTCTTTATTTATCTTACACTGAGCCTTAGTGCGGCCCCTCAGTTCAACTTCTGTCTAGACCAGGGGTGGGCAATCTCAGTCCACGAGGGCCAGTGTCCCTGCAGGTTTTAGATGTGTCCTCGAACCAACACAGCTGATTTAAATGGCTAAATTAGCTCCTCAACATGTCCTGAAGTTCTCCAGAGGCCTGGTAACGAACTAATCATGTGATTAAGGTGTGTTGACCCAAGGTGAGATCTAAAACCTGCAGGGACACCGGCCCTCGTGGACTGAGATTGCCCACCCCTGGTCTAGAATAAGCAGTTTTAGCTCCCTTCTCCTTCCCATTAAGGCAGCCTTCTTCTGATTGGCTGCCCCTCCAAAACCTCTGAAAAAGACTAAACAACATGTGGATGACTCATAGCCAGAGCTGTGGGGATATTGCACTGATTGGTATCATATGGAGCAGAAATAACTTGGTCTACAGTGTACTTACCTTCCTCTTTACTTCACTAATCTGCTGCCCACCACACAGGAACCTTTATCAGCACAATTAGCTCGTCTTTAAATTCAGCTGCTTTCACCATCACAGCTTTTGTGATTTATCCACAACATTTAAAATAATTAAATCAAATTAAAATATTCATGACAGATGGTTTCTCTCTACAGACACCTTTGCCAGTAAAGTAGCAGCAGTCCAGGACACCTACGCAGACGCCTCCATTGGGAATGTGACTGGCAGCAACGCAGTCAATGTCTTCCTGGGAATCGGCATGGCCTGGTCAGTGGCGGCCATTTACTGGCACATGAAAGGGAAGCCGTTTGTGGTGGAGGCTGGCTCGCTGGCCTTTTCTGTCACTCTCTTCACCATCTTCGCCTTCCTGGCCATCTCGGTGCTGCTTTACCGGCGCCGGGCCCACATCGGAGGAGAACTGGGCGGGCCCCGGGGACACAGACTGGCCACGTCAGCCTTCCTTTTCAGCCTCTGGTTTCTTTACATTCTCTTCTCCAGTCTGGAGGCCTACTGTCATATAGAGGGCTTCTAAACAAACAAAAAAAAAATCCAGTGTGACACAATACAAACATACAGGGGTTTAAAGTACAACTTTAGAGGTAAAAGAGTGAATTCTCACTGTGGAATTTAGGTCAATCTTGTATGGAAAGGACAGGAGAGGGTTTTCCTTTACACCTCCCTACTCCTCTCCCTCTCTCAACCCCTTCTGTAAGGATGCTTGGAGGTGTGTATCCTGCCCTCTAGTGCCGACAGGCCTGGCTGATAAAGGAGCGACCCTGAGCCTGTGTGAGTGTGCTTACAGTTGGGATTGGGATACCACCGAGTACAGGAGATGGCGATGCCAATAGGTGGTCCTGCATTCCACTGGAAGAGACTGCAGTCTTATATCCGGAGAGGGTTGAGTTAATCAGAGGTCTATATTTTTCTCAACATCTGACGAGAATGACTTTTTTTAAAAAACAAAAAAGTATTTTGGGGATAAAAATGCAAAAAATAAACGAAACAAAAAACGAACACACAAGGACACAAAGAGGAATCAAAGAACTATTTTCAGATCTATGGAGTAACAAATGATTATAGTGAAAATGGGAATATGTTGTTGAGTGACAGTGGGATGGATTCATAGTATTTATTTTTATTTGCATAGTTTCCTAAGGAGCACGGCAGAGTTGTCAGAAATTACACGAAGAGGAAAATCAGCAGCGACAGCAGCCGTTCATACTGGCAGACGAGTCACCATTCAAACAGGAGGGGAAGAGGTGGACGCCGTGAACATGGTCAAACTGCCCTGAACATTACTTCCGTACTCTAAACGTATCTATATATAATATATTTCCATATTTTCTGTATATTTTGAATATTTGTTTAAATGTGGTCACCTTCTGCTCTAACAACAGAGGATAGCTGTGGCTAAGTGGGAGGGGAGGGTGGGGGATAAACTATATAATGGAACGATGTCTTCACATTTCTAAGAGTTATGTATCTTGCCTAGGTAAAAGTATGACATTGTATTTTATTTATTTACTGATATCTTGGTCTCACTCAAGTTTTCACCTTTTCAATCAGAAATCTGAAAATAGGAAAAAAAAAACGTGTTGCTGCAGAGATAAATTCAGAGGTATTTTTGTACTTTTCCTTCCATGCACTTTGCTGTATAGTTCGACTTCTGGAGAATTCTACTTGTACATGTGCAAAAGGCCAATAAAAAGGTGTCGTTATGGACTGAACAGAGTGCCTGTGGAGGGAAAGGCGTTTGCTGCAGCTGCCCACAACCACCAGCTCTTTGCTCTGCTGAAGAACACGAGTGTTTCCTTCTTATATGGTGCATGAGCTTTTATTTATTTATCTATTTTTTTTAAAGCTGCATTAATTGATTGGAATCATGGATTTAAGGGCTTTCCAGGAGCACATACCCACTGAATTTGGCTAAGATCTCTCTTTCAGGTATCTGTACAATCACAAAAAGCTTTCTCCTATGGATTGGTTGTGCGCTTAGCTTTTTAGCTATACTAGATGCCCTTCATTCACCATCACATGGTTACATTAAAAAAGGTCCTTCAAAGGTAATAGGTTTTGTGGGGTTTCACTGATTTTTTTTTCTGTGACATTTTGGTTAAAGCAGACATTTTTAAAGTTTAAGTTTAGAAAAGACTATTATTAGGGTTATAATCCATCCATGTCAACCGTGTCATTTAGAGCAGAGGTGTCAAACTAAAGCCTGGAGGTCAGAATGGGCTATGTTTGGCCTATGATGTAAAATGAGTTTGACATCCCTGCTTTAGTTCCTTCAAGCATTCAAACTACATATATTTACAGAGGTCTACAGACACCCTGGAAATTACCTTAACCAATAAAAAACAAAGTCTAATATTTAGAGTGGAACATTTAGGTACCTATTCTGCAACCAGCCACCAGGTTGTGAGTGCAATGTCGCCCATCGTCGACTGTTAATGATGGGCATATCCATCCTCACATCATCCATTGGTTGGTCTCGTTATGATGACATGAGCTGGGCATTATTGCTGTTGTCTTCTCTGTGTCTCAAACCAGGAGATGATGTGCAAACATCTGACAGCAAACTCCTGATATCTTGGATAATCCCCCATCGATAACTCAGAGAATAAACGTATATCTTATTATCTAAAACTAGCGATCAGCCCATGAATTCATCATTAAGTGTTTACTGGGGTTACAGAGTGAGGATTTCAGGGTTATTTTTTCTTCTTGCTCATTATACATCCACAGAAGTCACCCCCTGCTGGCCAGTTCATGCATGGACTTGACCATCTTTTATAGTCGACTTGAGCTTGAAGGCTGAAATAATAAAGTATGTGATAGCTTTAGAGTTTTCACTTTCTTTGAATTATCACTGAATATTTAAAGGAAAATTTTGTTTACCTGACGTGTGCAGAAGGCTAGCTTCATTTCCGATTAATTGCAGGCATTTAGCACAAATGTTTAGTTACTAAAACTGCTAAAATACTTCATTCATTTCAATACACTTTCCATAAATTGATTTCATAGTTAAGAAATGGTCATTAGTGCAGCTTTGAAGTAATTAAACGTTTCTTTGCCAAAGTCTACAAATGTATCCTTCCTTACAGTTATTATTAATGTATTAGTTTTGTATGTGTTGCATAATTTTGGCCTCCTTTTGCTGTAGTCACTATGTAAAGAGCACGTGTCAGCGGTTTTCCGTTTGGAGTGAAACTGCTCAGCATCGAGAGCTGTTGGTGTGGGCATGAGAGCAGCAGGTAGCTCCAGGTTGAATTTGAAAGTAGCCCGATATTAATAATGAACTACGTTTAACACATGACTGGTGCTTTGTTTTTAAAACAAGAGTTTAAAAAACTACAGAAACTCCCAAAGTGTCAGAAAACATGTTTATTGAATAATTTGAAAGTGTATGTGGGAATTGATTCTTGGCTAATTTTAAAATCACCCAAGAGATTACCAAAGAGGAGGTGGGATGCAACATCTGTTTTAAAGTATATAAATAAAAAATATATTGGGGGGAAAAAAATGTTTTTTTTAGAGTAGGCGACAGTAAATGGCAGTGACACTGTATTTCCACAAGGGGGATGTCAATCTCCAGTCCCTGTGGTTGTTCCTTCTTTAATTTCTCAGCACTCTTTCCTCCTCCTCCTCTTCCTCAGTGTTCTTCCTTTGTGGTGAGCAGTGTTGTAAATACGTCTCGTGGCTGAATCGGATGCTCTTTTCCTGGCCCTGGACCACACATGCTCACCTCACGCTATCTCTCTTTCTCTCACACTATCTCTCTCTTACATATAAACACACACACACATATAATCAATGAAGAGCGATGGGTCCACTGCTGCACAATAGGGAGGACAGTTGGAGGGGCTTGCTGTCCCAATTCAGATGCAACACAAAACAGATTATGTACATAACTTTCAGTGTATGTTTACATAGACACAGTTTAGGTGTCCTGGGGGGTAAAAAGCATGACAATACAACTCTCACATCTCATCTACAGGTTATCTGCAGTCGCTTCGTCTGAGCCAGTGGAAGTGTGAAGTTTTTATTTCTTTTTTCTTTTCTTTCTTTCTTTTTTTTTTTTTGCAAGTCACAGGGGGTCACTTTGTTATCTGTCCCTTTGTAAAAATCCTGCAACAGGAAATATTTTGGTCCTCAGTTGAACAAGTATTCATGAACAAAAGGAAGTGCCAGTGTTCTTCATTTTATCCCTGCCGTTAGTGGCTGTTTATATTGTTCATTTGGTTGTGTTTTTGGTTTTATCTGCCAGGACTTATTGAGTTGAAACGTTGGCCAGTGTGTGTTTGTGTGCTGTGCATGTTGCCGTGCCGAAGCCAGGCTGCGCATCCTCTTCACACCCGTGTACACAGATGATGTGCACGCTGATGATGATGCTGTTGTCGTCACGGGGACGCAACTCAAAATTGGTTCTGTCATTTTGTCGTATTAATACATGTCTTAATTCTGTAAAATAATTATTTTAAAAAAAAACATAATCATACAAATCACTTCTGAAGGCACCAGACTTTTTTTTCTTCTCTGTCTATAGGATGGCATTGAAATATCACCGTGCAGTAACTGGACTAGTGGTTGATGATGTTGTAAGACACTGTGGAAGGTTTCATTGATGACGTGAATACTGTTCTTTTAACTTTGTTTTTGTGTAACAGAAAAGGGGCACGTTTTAATGGATGGGTATGTTTTCCTGGCCTGCAATGAGATGTCAAAAATAAAAAAGCAAATTTCCAAAGTGTTTTGAGATTAAACAGTTTTGTTCTTTTTTTCTGTGAAATAAAAAAAATGCTTTCTGGTTCATATGCAAACATTGGTTTCACTCATTTAAAGCAACACTGACCGTTTTAAATATAAATTTGCATCACCA